GGGGTGAGGGGGGCGGGGTGTAAAGCACTGAGGATTAAATGTTTCATTCCCCATAAAACAGCCAGTTTGACATGAGGTGTTAAGTCGATTTTATTCTTTGAATTTTGACCTTTAGTGTTAGCAGATCACTGGCCCTTTGAATAAAGCTCAACTGGCCCTGGGTCCCTTCTGTTCTCTCCTAGATGAAATGAGCCCACACTGCCGCATGAGTGGGGTGAGGGGGGCGGGGTGTAAAGCACTGAGGATTAAATGTTTCATTCCCCATAAAACAGCCAGTTTGACATGAGGTGTTAAGTCGATTTTATTCTTTGAATTTTGACCTTTAGTGTTAGCAGATCACTGGCCCTTTGAATAAAGCTCAACTGGCCCTGGGTCCCTTCTGTTCTCTCCTAGATGAAATGAGCCCACACTGCCGCATGAGTGAAATGCCAGTGAGGAGAGCAAGGTTTATCCTTCTACTAAGAAGTAAATCAGAGGTTGCAGTGTCAGGCGCTTGTTACAATTCGTTATCAGTCTTTTTTGTAGGATACGTAATTGCTGATGCTACAGAATGAAACCCTGTCTCAATGATATAAAAATAATAAAAACTACACACTCCAGAGTTCAAGACAGAACACCCTGCTTGCCCAAATTTTCTTGCTATCTTAAAGACCCTTTATTAAGTGAGACATCTTGTCATACCAACATTCAAGGAAGTTCTCAAATGTCAAAAATGGCCAAGGAACCTAACTGGCTCCTACTACCTGTTAAGAACCAGATATTAGGGCTGGAGTGGTGGTGCACACCTTTAATCCCAGTGGCTCAGGAGGTAGAGACAGGTGGGTCTGTGAGTTCGACCTGCCAGCCAGGTCTGCATAGCGGGTTCCAAGCCAGATCATAAATGACCAAAAAAAGAAAAAGAAAAAAGAAACATATTAGTCTTTTCTTTCAAGCTCTGTAAAACTTGAAACTTGGTTTATGACAAGGAATTCTTTTTTAAAAAAATATTTTATTTATTACTTATTGTATGTGTTATGCCTGTATTGCCTGCACGCACATAAGTTAAGTGCACACGTGTCATGCAATGCCCAAGGAGGACAGAGGCCCTCAGATCCCCTGGAACTGGAGTTATGGACAATTGCCATGTGGGTGCTGGGATTCAAACCCTGGTCTTCTGCAAGAACAGTGTTCTTATCCGCTGAGCCATCTCCCCAGCCCCAGAATTCTATCTTTTAATCACACCACACCCTGTAAGACTTTTTGTTTAAGCTTGAAATGCCCTGATGCAATCCTGAGTCTGTTGCCTGGTAGTGGAGCTCTTCATCTTTCACTCCATTCTTTTTTTTTAATATTTTATTATTTTTATTTTATGTGTATGTGTGTATTGCCTGCCTGTAGGTAAGTGCACCTGTGTCCTGCAATGTACGTGGAGGACAGAAGAAACTATCGGATCCCCTGGAACTGGAGTTAACGGACAGTTGTTAGCTACCATGTGGGTGTTGGGATACGAACCTGGGACTTCTGCAAGAACATCCAGTGTGCTTAACCGCTGAGCCATCTCTCCAGCCCCTCACCCCATTCTTTTAAACTAACCAACCAGGAAGACGGTGAAGTTGGCCCCCAGCCAATGGGGAAAAGACAGTTCTCTTGTATTAGGGATAAAAGCCCCCCAATCTTCTGGATCCCATGTGGACTTGCTGGATCTTACTGACCATGTAACTCATTCTTTTGCCAAAGTAAAATCTGCTTTGCCAAGTTACTTTTGGCTTTGTCTGTGTGTTTTTTGTGCAGTATTGATGGGTCCTTGTACCTCGAATTTTATAGCTAACATACCAGAAGATGGAACAATTTGAACATAAAAATCAATAATCTCGGGGCTAGAGAGATGGCTCAGTGGATAAGAGCACTGGCTGCTCTTGCAGAAGACCTGGTTTCCATTCCCACCACCCACATGGCAGCTAGCAACCATCAATAACTGGTGCCAGGGGATCTGATGCCCTCTACAACCCTCCTCAGGCACTGCACGACATGGGTGCATCTACCTACATGCAGACAATACATTCATACACATAAAAAATAGTAATAAAATATTTTTAATCATTAATTGAGCTGGAGAGATGACTCAGCAGTTAAGAACACTGACTGCTCTTACAAAGGACCCAGGTTTGGATCCCAGCACCCACATGGCAGCTAACAACTATCGGTAACTCCAGGGGCTCCTACATCCTCTTCTGACCTCCGACATTGCACTCACATGCATGCAGGCAATACGTTCATACACAAAAGTAAAAATAAAATATTTTTAAAAAATCAATAATCTCAATAGACTGAGGGAATTCATGTCTGGCATTGTAAACCTGGCCAAAAGTCTATGACTGGGCTGAAAAGATGGCTCAGCAACATTACTAGTGAACACTGCTCTTCCAAAGGATCCACATTGCACAGCTCACAACTGCCTATAACTCCAGCTCCAGGAAAATCTGATACCTTCTTCTGGCTTCTGTAGGTACATGTGCTCATGACCAGACCCACATACATACAAATTTAAAAAATAATAAAAAGTAGTTTTTAATAATAGGTCTTTTTTAAGCCTTAGCTGGGGAGGTCTGAGGTCCCAATGGGAAAGCTTCTGCTGCTTTGCTAAGTGGATATGATGTGCTCAGCAAACTTCTATCAAAATGATTATGTTTATGCCTATAGGATAGTTCTGCAGTCAGTTTTGATCAGAGCTGTTGTTTCCCCCATAACGCTAAAACATCAACTTTTCCACTCCTTAGAATTAAATTACCATATGA